TCCACCCCCACAGAATGTCTCTGGTCTATGGTTGTTCATTATTTTTGTTATTTTCTCGCCTGGTCCATTATACTCCCTTAGCAGAAACTTTTAAGGAAGTTGGGCAAACACAGGAGGGGGTGGGGAGGGAAGGGTGATCATGGAGTTTCACAGGAAATGTGTCCTGTTGTGTCAACTGATTCTCTGCTTGCGTTAATCTGATAATGGGGGCATGTTCTGCATTTTTGTGCTTGCTCAGCCTGTGGAACAAGCCAGGGACCTGAGGGAAGAGAGAGGCCTAATGAAAATTTGACAGGCAGCAAAGAGAGAAAAACGAGGGCAACTATGAACTCCGATATTTGTAACAACCTTCCATGGACTCCAGAGGCCCCTGAGTTTCCATACTTAGGGTACAAGATACTGAAGAAGGCTCCCTTAGCACAAAAATAGACCGCCACCCCTCAAAATTTTCACACAAACTTGGTGATTAAGAGCATAAAGCAGAGGACACTCTAAAGGATTATGAAAAGAAAGGATTCTATAAGGATTTAATTTAGACAAGAGGGAGATAATTAAAAAGCTTAATAGGATAAAAGAGGGCATAATAACTTTTGATCACATCATTAAGGTTTGCTTGATATAAGTTAGAAAAAAGCAGTCAGTTTCTTCTCAGGAAACCTCACAGTTACAACTGCCTTCCTGTGTGTCCCAGATGCCATGCTCAAGTTTCTAATACATTTCTGCTGTTTCCCTTACATCATTTATACCAATCAAAAGCCTTATATCTTATTGTAGGAGAACCTGTAAACTACTATGAGAAAGCCAGTTATTTTTATGTTGATCTTTTTCATTATAAAATGTATTCCCAGGCCCTCCCTAGTGGCACAGTGGGTTAAAGTACTACACAGTACTACAAATCTGGCCTTAGCCACTTCAGCACGAATTTGATGCCCTCTCTGGCCAGGGAGGTGACCCACATGGCTCAACAGACCTCTCCTGTCTTGCCTGCTGCTCCCCTCAAAGTTTAATTCTCTATAGGCTTTTCTATTTGTCACTGTTTTCATTTTACTTAAGAGATAATTTACTTAGCCTTTGCCAATTTCTTTTTCCTTTTCTTTTTCCTGCTTTACTTGTTATTTCGAAATTAAAAATTGCAAAAACAATTTTTTTTGCTAAATTTAGTTTATGGCCATTGTTTCTGATGTAATTAAGCAGGCTATACATTCTAATCCAGTCATTTTTCCAATGGGAAAAATTGGCTTTAGCTCGAATTACAGTGTCCCTTCTTACCTAATGTTATTTGGAGCAGCACTTCTGCAGTTTGGAGACCAAGTTATTCATGAGCACTTAAAGATGTTAGAAAGGGACCAATGGAATACCCAAGGGAGTTATCAGTGCAAGCGTAGGTGTTGGTGTGTCTGGGATCTGGGATGAGTCAGCTGCTGTGGGAGTTTCTTTGGCAGGTAATTTTATTTTCCCCATGGCTAAGGATAATTACTATGCTAAACTTCTGTGCAAATAGGAGGGTAGAAGTCTTTGAAATTCAGGTAAGTATTCATTCCTTTCACTTTAAATAAAAAGCAATAGTGAAAATGGGGTAGAGTGTATGGCTACCCAAAGAATCTTTTCTTAAAACATATTACTACAGATTACCTCAATTTCTAGTGAATGAAGATGAATATTATTTTGCTCTTTTAACAGTTCACTGTGCGAGGAACACGCCTGCCTTTTTTGCTGACAGACTACATCAAGCTCTGAAGGTTGGTCTGGAAACTTCATATGCGTTTTTAGTTGCCCTCAAAGAGAATATAAAAATAATTGGTTAATATTGATGGAATTTCGTATTTCTTTTCCACTTTGATGGGTTCTCTTTTGTAGGGAATTCATCTACTAATTTGCCTATAGGGCGATAAGAAGTAATCTAATGGTAATCACTAGAAAGCTAGCTATAGTGAGTTGTTTACTGAATTATCTCTTCCACTCACAGCTAGTATAGGTAGCAGAGCTTATTTTAAAACACCAAACTTCAACCTTCACCATTAGGCCCAGGGACCCCTCAAGCTACATTATTTAAACCAAGATGAGTCAGCAACCTTTCAAGATAATGAAATGCTGTATATTCAAGTCTTTTGCCACAACTGAATTGTCAGTTCTGTGAACACAAGAGTTTTCCTGCTCCTTTATATTCAGTCTCTCCCAGAGCCTGACATGCATAAGATGCCTACCTCAGTTTCCTTTCTGGATAGTTCAGGTATTAAAGTTCTGACCAAATTAAACATATCATTTACTTACTTCACCTTCTTCTCTACCAAAAGTCTGCTCCCCATTCTGAGTCCAGTCATCTCAGTGGCTAAGACCCAAGAAGACCTGGCCTTGCCCAACTCTTTGAACTTCCCCCCATCCTTATTCTCTGTGCTTTAACTTCTTCAGCCTCCATTTGATTCCTTGGTTATTCTAAGTCTTTCCCATGTCAAAGTTCTCCATTTGTTGCCCTCTCTATTTGGAAGGTGCCTGCCCACTGCAGTCTACCTATGACTGACTTCTCATCACTCAGATCTGGGCAAATCCCATCGCCTAAGAGAGGTCCTCCCCCACGACACTGCTCAGTAGACTCCTACTAGTCGTGTTGATTGACATTTCCCTGCTGTGTATTTTTTCAGTTTTTACTATTAAAAAACTCATTCATTTTTCTGTACTTCTGGCTCAGCCACTAAAACAAACTCCATGAGGACAGAGATAATCTGTTGTTCAGATAGAACATTATCTGGCATATAGTTAGGCTAAATAAACATTTGTTGAATGAATGAATAAGTGAATAGTGTCACTGTTGACCTCACTTCTCACCTGGGGATTTCATACTTCTCCCTCCCTTTATTTTTCTCAAATCTGTATAGACCTATGCATTGTTTTGTCACCAGTGAGACTTGTATTGTGGAAATCTTCATTTTTTAACAGGGTGCTGGAACTGATGAGTTTACTTTGAACCGAATAATGGTTTCCAGATCAGAAATTGACCTTTTGGACATTCGAGCAGAATTTAAGAAGCATTATGGCTATTCTCTTTCTTCAGCAATTAAAGTGAGTCTCCTTGTAAAAGTAATAAAACACATTTTTCCCTACCATAATAATCTTTCACTTATACTCTTTAAAATGTGGAGATACGTAACTTAGATTTTTGCTCTTGTCAACATGAAATGTATTTTCTGAGTTTAAATAGTAACAGCAAAATACCCTTAAAGAGAGTATCTCCTTTTCAGTTTTAGTAATATCTCCTGTATGTAATAGCCATCAAAATTTTTTTCTTTCTTAAAGTGCATATGCAAATTGTTTACCAGTTTTTAACATTGTGATATTTTTATTTACTTCAGTACTTCTAACAATGAAAGGGAAGGAAGTCCATATTTTAAGTTTTGTTTGTTTTATACAAAAATATAGCCTATTTCTGCATCTGCTAGTCTTTTCATTTCAATCTAGAGGAAGATTTTTCATTCTTTCTGACATCTGCTTGTTTATGCTATATTTGTATCCACCACATCAACAGGCAACTAATTTCTTGCTATTACAAACAGTGCTGTAATATGCACATATAAGTTTCATCAGGTAGCAGGGTACTTATGAATGAAATCTCAGAGGTAACTGGATTGCTGAGACAGATATAAATACATCTGTAATTTTCAAAATTATTGCGAGTTGCCCACCACTAACATTTACTTGAAGAATGTATCTGTACTGTTTTTCCCTAGCATTGGCACAGAGGGGTTTTTTTCAAGCTTTTGGATTTTTGTAATCTGATAAATGGGAAATTACAATTTTAATACACATTTTTTTTTGTCTGAATGAGGCCAAATCTATTTTCATGTTTAAGTGATATTTGTACTTTTTCTGTGCTGTGTCTTTTTATGTTCTTTGCTCATTAGTACATTGGAATAGGGTTCTTAATTTTGGGGGTTAATTCCAAAATTTCTTTCATGTCAGGTAGATAAACCTTTTGTCTGAATCATTTTTCCAGTTTGCTATTTGACCTTTGGCATGGCTGGTGGTATTTTTCAATTTCATATCAAATTAATATTATTCG